ACAAGACCGGAGTGGATGGGATTCTCACGGTGGTCGACCGACTCACCAAGTTCGCCATGTTTTTGCCTTGTCACTATCATGCCAAGGCACCAGAGTTGGCCGAGGTTCTTTACGCCGGTTGGATTCGAACCAAGGGTTACCCCAAGGAGATCGTCTGCGACCACGACACTCGGTTCATGTCCGATTTTCGGTTGGCGCTCATCAAGCGATGGGGCTCATCTCTCAGGCCCAGTTCAGCTCGCCACCCTCAGACCGATGGCCAGACGGAGAGGGTGCATCACACCGCACAGGTTCTCCTTCGCCCTTCGAGTTCGAGCACGGCTCGCCGGTCACGTCACCGTTGGACACTATTACTCCACGCATGGTCGAGAGCGACGCCCATCTTCTTTTCTTGCGTCGAATGCAAGAGCTTCTTGTCAAGGCATGCGACCAGATGGCTAAGACGCAGCAGCGCATGAGCCAGCAAGCCAATCGCCAACGTCTTCCTTGTCCATTCCGCGTCGGGGACCTCGTCTGGGTTTCCGCAGCGGAATTCAGCCTTGAACAAGACATCTCTCGCAAGCTCCTTCCGAAATGGATGGGGCCTTGGCCGATCGTAGCACCCGCTAGGGACGCACCCGAAGGACCATCCTTCACGATTCAGCTGCTTGGCCACTTGCCCGTCTACCCAGTCTTTCATTGCTCCAAATTGGCTCTCTACACGCCAGCGGAACATGACGATTTTCCCGGGAGACGTACGCAAGACCCGCCTTCTATGGACGGTTTTCAGGAGGTCGGCGACATCATCTCCCAGCGACGCTACGGCAATAAGCCAACTGAGTATTTGGTGCATTTTGCATACTGCACACACCGAGCTGACCGTTGGTTAACCCGTGCGGAACTTCAGGCAACAGCTTCAGACGTTCTCGCACGTTACGAACACAAGATGCAAGGCAAGCCGGTTTCTTCGGCTCCACGCCGCGTCTGCGTCCAGGTTCCACTTTCAGATCGTCGACTTTGCCCTCGCCCCGGCTTGACTTCATAAGGAGGGGGGGGTGTTACATGCYGCGCGTGCACACGCGGGCCATTTTGCAGGCCCGACGTCCTTCAGGCCAAAAGCCTGAATTTCAGGCCGAAAGCCTGAAATCCAGGGCTTACAGGGCCCATGTCGGATCAGGCCGAAAGCCTGAATTCCAGGGCCACAGCCCCTATGTCGTTTCAAACCAAAAACGGCATCAACCTTTTTAGCCTGAAACAAAGGGCCATTTTCGGTCGTTCATCAGAACGACCGGCCCTGAAACTCAGGCACCGAACCCGGGTTTCGGAACAAGCTATTATTAGCTTGTTCCCCACGCCAGCCTCAGCAGGCTGCTGCACGCCAGCCCCTGGCACACTTCGGCATTGGCAAGAGCTGCCTCCTCGGCGTGGCTCGCCTTTCAGCAGTCAGGAAGCAGGCCGAGGTAGTACATAGGACTTCCCAGGCACTTCCCAAGCAGGCAGTCGGCAGTTGTAGCCTTCAGGATTCGGGAGCAGCACTCTGGAGGGAGCGTTGTAGAGTAGTAGTAGCGTTAGCTTGTAGTCTTCAGCGCTGGGCGCAGTAGGTAGCTGTAGTCTCCAGCGCTGGGCGCCATAGCTAGATAGTACTAGAGAGAGAGAGAGAGGTTGGGCGGAGGCCAGAGGTACTTACCTGCAACGCCGTTGCTCCAGCTTCGTCTTCGAGGTACCTGCAGCACAACGCCAATATCACAGGTCAGTATCTGGCTCGTAACAGTGAGAGAGAGAGAGTTCTTCTTCTTCCTCTTCTCAGTCCACCATCTCCTTCTACCCCTCTCACATCTGACTTCACTGCATCTGCAGACTACGAGAGAAGAGAGACAGAGCTTGGTGACATTGGATCCAGACTCGACTTTTGGGGACTTCAAACATGGCAACGAGGGATTATTTGGGATTGGTGACAAAGACTTGGTGTTGACGACATTCCCATCTCTCTCCCTCCTTTYGTTTGATCCCTTCCTCTTCGTCTGTGTATRTCTGGACCTGGCGCTTTCTTCCTGTGTACAGCGCCAKGCTCCTTCACACCTGGTGATGGCTACGATGTATGTTTGGTCCGAGTTCAAACATTGATTGGACTAGTTATCAGTATTCTAAGCATTCTGCTTCGCTACTTTATACTACGTGAGTGAGGTCAGTCCCGGTCAGGTCAGTCTTTGTATCTAAGTCTTCCCTGCGCTATTCAGCACCTTTTGTATGTATGAGAATGCACATTGTTTGTCGAGATTCTACTCGCACCGCATTGTCCATTTTGTCCTTTTCATCACATTGCAGATCCTCGGTTATTACGTACATCACGTATCTGTGCATGTAACAGTCATAGTTGATAGATTTAGCAAATATGTTGTTTTTGTTCCTTTGCCTGTAGAGGCCCGTACTGAATTAGTGATTCAAAAGTTTTTTGATTTTTGGGTTAGTGAGCATGGAGTCCCATTGTCTATAGTTAGTGATAGAGATAGTCGCTTCACTAACCAGAACTAGCAGGAACTGATGAGAGTCTATGGATCCAAGTTGTTCATGTCGTCTGACCGCCATCCAGAGACTAACGGTCAGACTAAGCAGATGAACAAGATCCTGCAGCAAGTTCTGCGCATGTATATTAGACTTGATCAAGTCAATTGGGACGAGATGTTGCCCAAGGTAGCCAGTGCGTACAACAACAACGTGCACTTGTCCACCTGTCGCACTCCCAATGAGTTGCACAAGTCCTTCAGACCACGCAGACCGTTTGAGGGACTTAACCGGGATCAGATTCATAGGCTACCACCCGGTACCAGGGAGTTTGCGATACAGCACGAAAGAGAGCTAGCTACAGTTTTTGAGAACCTCAGGAAAGCCCAGCATAGAATGATAAAACAAGCTAATAAGCACCGTCGCCCCTCACAGTTTCAAGTAGGCGACTTAGTCTGGGTCAAGTCCAAAGAATTTGCTCCTGAGGAAAACATTTCACAGAAGTTACTGCCCACGTATAGAGGACCGTGGCCAGTTCTAGAAGTTAAGGGCGGAGAGGATGGACCGTACTACACCATAGAGATCCTAGCACACCTCCACACCTACCCTGTATTTCATGCATCAAAGTTGCTGCCGTGTGTCACAAGTCAACAGTTTCCATCTAGACGGTCCATGATCCCTCCAGACATGGACAGAAGGTACGACATTGACGGCATCGTAGGTGAAGATGTGTTTAGAACAGGAGGTAGAGGTCGTCCACAGAAACAGTATAAGGTCCGATTTGCTTATGAGGAGCCAGAGGACGACCGCTGGTTTAAGAGAACAGAACTTCTAGAAACAACTCTCGACATAGTTCGAGCCTATGAGAGAGATAAGAAGGGAAAAGGTCCTGCCTTGGACTGAGTTATTCTCGGAGGACCTCCAATTTAGGCCGGTGGGAGTGAAACGGTTTTCACCTGTCAGCAGTAGCGAGTGCAGATCCCAGGGCTCGATCCCTAGTCATCACCTTACCTGTGTACAGTATTTGTGTCGACCCCGAGAGTTGAACCCGTGACCTGTGTATTTGTAACAGTTGGTAGACTGTCGTAGGGTCCGTAGGTAGCAGGGGTTCGATCTGTAGATCTGTCGAGTAAAGGTCTTAGGGGGTTCTAGAAGTCGTAGCTGCTACAGTCCTGAAGGGTCAAGGTCGTAGCTGCTACAGCCTTCGAAAGGCCAGGACCCAGACTTCCGGAAGGTCCTAGTAGTGGCATTTCGAAGTTGCTCACGTTTTGGCTGAGGCAAGTGGGTGAGTGGGCATGTGGTGAGCCAAACTGCAGTCCGTCTGCAGTGCGACTGCATCGAGTTGGCAGTGCAAACCCATGCAGTCAGCAGTACCGGTCCCAGTCAGTCCTAGTCCAGTCAAGCAAGTACCGCATTGGACTGTGTGCACCACGGCCAAGGGAAAGGGCCAGACCAACGAGCTACAGAAGTATAAATCAAAGGGCAGCGTCCAGCCATTCATTAATTCCTGCGTGAGCCATGCGGAAGCGCTGCCACAGCGACTTGTGCGAGGTGGTCTGCAGTGAGCCCGAGGACGAAGTGGGCGAGAGAGAAGGAGCTTAGCCATAGCGATAGGGTAGCAGCGGCCGTAGCCGCTATAGCTGTAGATAGCGTGCAGTGTGTGTGTGTGTGTGTATGTGTGTACATAGTAATGCGTGTGGGATATCCAGGGTGATCCTGTGTGTGCGAACAGAGAGTTGAGTGGGCGCTGTGTCACCATAGCCATTGAAGTGAACTTGTATCTGAACTGTGTTCTCGGCTACCATATCTCTGAGTTTTGAGTGGGCACTTGTCGCCAGTTTGCTGCGCACCTGTTTGCATACATGTGAACTGTGAAAGATAGCGAGTCTGATTGCACCCACAATGATTTGGCCATGAAAATGGTAAAATACATTCTGGACAGCCCTGGGGCGAAGTCCCACTAGCAACGGGATAGGATAGAAACGAGTTTGATGGGCAGTTGAGTGACCCAAATCCTGCTGTGCACGACTCATGATCCCAAGGTCAATATATTCCATGTATTACCCGAAAAAATAAGGAGATCTTCGTTCCCTTCCTCCTCTCCTTAACACTGGGCATGCCCGTGCAAAGAAAGCTTCCCACCAGAATCTTTTCAATCGGTTGGGGGTGTGGCCAACCCCAAAGGAGGGTGGGGTTGGCCTTAGGCCCACTGGATAGAAGGTTTTCAGTATTTTACTTGCTGTTGTGCAATTATCTCATTGGGTGGAGCCCTCCTTCAATCACGGAGTATATGGAGGGTGTCAGGATCAGTGCTGACAGAAGTCAAGTTTATACCAGAAAATGTGGCGGTTACTTTGTTCACTGTTGTTGCAACCACCACCATCAGATCATTTGTGATCTGATGGCTGGAAAGCACTCTGCCGTGTTTTCGGGTGGGAGGTCTCTGTTTCTTTTTTTTTTTTGGCCTTTCTCCTGTTTTCTCAGCCCAGAAATTCGTAATGAACCTGTCTGGCCGCTGCCACTCAGTGTCACACTGGATCGGCCACACTCCTATCCGACTGGTAATGGGACCTCGCCCCTGGAGCGAGATCCCACTACCGATGTATGTGGACTAGTGTTTAAGCCTTAAGGTGTGTGACTGTCAGGCATCGTGGATTTGGCAGGAAATCAGCGGTAGCCTGTTTTTGTGAATTAAGCCTGGGAAAAGGATGTTTTTTTTTTGCTCTCCCATTGGTAGGTTTTTCTTTCGTTTTTGCTGTGGAGGTCCTGTGGCGGTCCCAAACGTGAGTGAAATCGAGACCAATTTTTTGGTTCATGAAATCACGCACGTTTCATTCACGGCGAAGGCAAAGATGAATGGCTTCATCGCTGGAAATTGATTGTGGTTGGGGAGGTGTTTGGGAGGGTTCGATCCCCTCACCTACAGCAAATGGTGTATGGAGTTACTCTTGCCCTCTTTTGCCAAAGGGAATTTCTGTCAGAACAACCGAACAGCGTGCACTGCGGCCTATTTCGAGGAAGCCTCAAACTATTGTCAATGAACATGGTCCGTGTGCCCACTCACATGCAGTCGTCTTGACTGCCACAGCCATGGTCAGTGAATCATATCCTGACATCTGACACCCCGCCTGGAGCAGACACCGTATGTGCAAAGAGCACTTTCTTTTGTCTTTTAGCAGTTTTTTCTTAATTTGTTTGGTAATGATGAAACGGTATTTACCAGTTCGCAGTAGCGAATACAGATCCCAGGGCTCGATCCCTAGTTCCCCATCTTACCTGTGTACAGTATTGATGTCAACCCGTAGATTTGAACCTGCGACCCGTAGGAACGCCAGTGAGAGTAGGAGTCTAGACAGTTCCGAAGTCGTAGCTGTAGGATGCCTGAAGGGTCAAGGTCGTAGCTGCTACTTACCTGAAGGGGCAAAGTCGTAGCTGCTACAGTACCGAAAGGCCAAGTCAGAGGGTTCTAGAAGTGGCCTAGGCCACCTCGCTGAATCAACAGTCCCAGTTAAGCAGTCCGGTCTTGTCCAGCAAGTACCGTCTGGGACTGTGTGCACCAAGGGCCAAGGGACACAGGGCAGACCAACGCAGCGCAGAAGTATAAATCAAGAGGCTGCGTCCAGCCATTCATTCATTCCTGCGGATGCCATGCGGAAGTGCTGCCTCAGCAGCTTGTGCGAGGAGGTCTGCAGTGTGCCCGAAGACGAAGTGGGCAGAGGAGTGTAGTATAGCACTAGGGTAGTGGCAGCTAGCGCTGCGTTGACTCCGCGTTGACCAAGGCGTTGACCGGAGCTTTTGACCAAAATTTTGACCAAGCTGGAGTTGGTGATATCTCGCTGAGCCCTTAGCCTATCCCCTTGCCCTGTGGATGTGCACCTACCCCACGGTACTTGCTGAGTTTGTCTGTGTACTCTTTCTGCATTGAGTCTCTTCTGTCCTAGGTGCTAGGACTCTGTGGATGAAGGATAGGGYCTTGCTGCCAAACCTGCACGGGACTTAGTAGGACTAAGCTCTACTCTGGCATCTGGAGACCTGGGCATGAGTGGCGAGCGCTCGTTAAACAACTCGTCTAGCCCAATGACCGGTACTGTCCGGCAGGTCTACTGATTTCAGTGTAGAGGGTCTGAACTCCGAGCTGCAGGCTGAAACGAAGGCCGTCTTTAAGTGTTGAGGCCTGGTTGAACCACTCCCCTACCGGACCTAGTAAGGCTGATGATCTGTGTCTAACGACTCGACTGTCCTGAGGGATACGAACCCCTCCAAGGACCGGTACAGACCGGCGGGCTGCTCGGTGTGGCACAGTAGGCCGGAACGGCTGAGTTGTGGGTTGAAATCGCTAGGAAGAACTACACTGATCATGCGTCCTGACTGCGACGTTAAAGAATTCTTGAGGAGTTCGGGGGATCTCCTTAAATGCCTCCTGATCAGCTGTTAGTTCAGTAGTGACAGCCTTAGAGTAGTTGTGAGCAGTGGATCCTAGAGAGGCAGTCAGTAAGTCAGTGTGTCCGGGTAGGTCTAAGTGGTGAGGAGTGGGACATTGTCGTGCACCTAAAACCACGATGGATGACTATCCGATGTATGTGATGCTTGTTGGGTTCTCCCTCTGGGGGACCCTCTGGCGTCTCCTCTTTCCTCTGGGGTTCTGGCACGCGATGATGTGTAGAGTAGACACCCGGGGTGGTACTTCCACCAAGCCATATTCGAAGGAGGAGGAGGAGAAGATGRCCGCCATTCTGAGGGAAAGGAAGGAGAAGAGAGAGGCCAAGAAGAAGGCCCTACAGGAGGAGCAGGCGGCCAAGTTGAGAAAGATTGAGGAAGAGATGGCCAGAGAGAAGGAGAGAATCATGAAGGAACAGGAGGCGAAATTGAAAGAGGTGGACGAGGAAGAGGAGGAAGGACCGCCACTACAAAGGAGGAATGGACAGCATAGTGGCAGCAAAGACGAGGAGATGGAGAAACGGATTTCGGAGTGGGTCGCCAACTTATCTTTGGGTGAAGAGGAAGAGGTTGCGATGTACATCCCCAAGGATGAGCAAGAAGCCGCTATGAAAAAATGGGAAGCAGAAGAAGATGTTCTGATGCGGCGGGCGATGGAAGATGAACAGAGGATGACGTGGAAGCTCGCAATGATGAGGGAGAAGAAGAGAAGAGTGGAGGCGGCGAATGCAGCAATACAGGAATTGGAGGAGGTGCAGAAATCGAGTTTACAGTTGACACCCCAGGTAGATCTCCAGCGAAAGGTGGAAATCATTGCCCAGAGCGTCGAGCGTTTAGCCAAAGTGCAAGAAAAGCACTATGAGTTTAGTCGCAGCCAGGAGATATCGGTGCGTTCGATGCGAACAGGATTACGGGACTTTGCTCGCGAGTTAGTAGGCGCTATGGGGTCCGAGGTGASTCACCGCCTCGAGAAGACTGAGCGTTTTTGTGTCGGCGCCATTGAGGGCGTCAAGGTGGCAGCTCCCAAGGATGAGGAGGCTCGTCCTCGCAGGGAGCCAGTCAAAGTCAAATTCCCTGATTCCTACAGTGGAAAAAGGGAAGAGAACTTTGACAATTGGGAGGCCAATGTCAGGACTTATGTGCATTTGCAACAGGTCTCCCCGGATCAGCAGGTCCTAATTGCGATCCACGCACTTAAGGATGAGGCCGCCAGTTTCGCAAGGTCCCTTGTTCGTGCTGCCAACTACAGTGACGATCCGGTTGCGTACTCCACATTCACCCCCCTCGTTGAGTTCCTGAAATTGCTGCGCGAGCGATTTGCTGATGTCGCTCGTAGTGTTAAAGCGTCAGATAGGCTGCAGACGATCCACGCCCGCAAGTGGAAGAGTGTCAGGGCACTCAAGGGTACGATGGATGAATTGGTGGCCACTCCTGACCATGGGGTCACAGAGGCCCAATTGGTCAATCTCTTCTATCGAGCAATGCCCGAGGCTTTTCGAGGGCAGTTCTTCGCAAAGAGCGAAGACCCTGCCACCACTTACGATTCTCTTAGTTGTGAGGTGGTGGCTTTTGAAGCTAAGTCCGTGTCCCTGTCTACCTTCTGGCACAAGGACTTAGACAAATGGAAGCAATGGAAAGGCCGCACTATCTCAGGGCAGGTAAAGACCAAGGACACCCTTGTCCTGACCTTAGACGAGGGTAGTGTGGATGAGATCCCCTACGAACAGATTGAGTGGGGGTTAGAGGAAGAGGACAGTGGTGTGGGCCAGGGGAGGACTTACGCTGCTGTCGCGGCTGGAGGGAGGCCGCAAGGAGGACGAGGCCAGGGCCAAGGGGGTCGGGCCTCAGGGAGCCGGTTTCAGGGTGATCAGGGGGTTGGCGGCAGAGGAGGAAACCGCCAAGCGGGAGGCAGGGGTCAAGGTCTCCCGCAAAACCGTCCTAGGAACAGGTCTCCCTATAGGGTAGGAGGATGGCACCCGGGGCTACCGCAGGGTAGGCCTTGGGAAACTTTGGGTCTGGACCAGACTTCATGGCAACAACGATTGGACCGGGGCCAGTGCATTTTCTGCGGTGACCCGGGCCACATCATCAAATACCGTCCTAAGTATCGAGAGACCCGAACGGCTGCCCAAGGGCCAAAAGGCAGCCGTCGGTAGGGGTAGCAACTGCCCCTACCATTAGGCCATGTGGGGAACATAGCGCTAGCCGGCAGGAGACTCCCACACCACATGTGCCTATGGCAGAGGTTGCAGGCCGGTGTCTAGACAGCTGCCCAGAGACTACTTGTGTTAGGGTCTCTCTAGACACCTCCCTCACAGGCGTGGCCGAAGAGTTGAAGGAGAGGAGGCCCGCCTGGGCCAAGATGAAGAAGGAGAATAAAGGGCAGCTGATCTTATTAGATGCAGAGATTTTTAGAGGGAGAGTAGGGGCCCTAGTAGACTCAGGGGCCACCCGCAGCTATATTAGTAAGAAAGCGTTGCAGAAGTTGAAGCTGGGACTTAAAGTCCAAAAGCTAGCAGACCCTATAGTTAGCATCCTTGCAGACAATCGTACTATGGTTGTAGGGGAATATGTAGAGGGAGTCCAGGCGTATTTCCGCCTAGAGAAGGACGGAAAAGTGGAGAGGGTCCTCCACTCCCTGACTCTCCTCGTAGAAGACAGCCTCCCATTCGACATTGTTCTGGGAATGGATTGGGGAGAGGCAGCCGGGGCCACGCTCCATTTGAAGGAGCACG